CAATAAGAGAAGAAAAAGAAATTGAAGGTATTAGAATAGACAAAGAAGAAACAAAGCTATCTCTCTTTGCAGATGATGATATACTTAGACAATCCTAGAGAATCAAGTAAAAAACTACTTAAAATAATAAACAACTTTAACTAAGTTGCAGGTTATAAAACAAACCCACATAAATCATCAGCATTTCTATATATTACCAACAAAGCCCAACAGCAAGAGATAGAAAGAGAAATTCCATTTAAAGTCACTGTAGACATAAAATATTTAGGAGTCTATCTACTGAAACAAACCCAGGAATTCTATGAACACAATTACAAAACACTTTTCACACAAATAAAGTCAGATCTAAATAATTGGAAAAACATTAGTTGCTTCATGGGTAGGTCAAGCTAATATAATCAAAATGACAATTCTACCTAAGCTAATTTACTTATTCGGTACCATACCAATCAAACTACCAAAAAATTATTTTATAGAGCTAGAAAAAACAATAACAAGCTTCATTTGGAAGAACAAAAGGTCCAGAATATCAAGGGAACTAATGACAAGAAATGCAGGGGAAGGTGGTTTAGCCATTCTAGATCTTAAATTGTGTTATAAAGCAGCAATCATCAAAATTACTTGGTACTGGCTAAGAAATAGAGTGGAATAGGCTAAATATGCAAGACATAGTAGTCAATGACTATAGTAATCTATTATTTGATAAACCCAAAGACCCCAGCTTCTGTGATAGGAACTCACTATTTGACAAAAACTTCTGGGAAAACTGGAAAAGAGTATGGCAGAAACTAGGCATAGACCAAAATCTTACACCATATACCAAAATAAAGTTAAAAATGGATTCATGATTTAGATATAATGGCTGATACTATAAGCAAACTGGGAGAGCAAGAAATAGTTTACCTGTCAGATTTGTGGAGAACAGAAGAATTTATAACCAAAGAAGAGATAGAGAACATTATGAAATGCAAAATGGATAATTTTGATTACCTTAAATTGAAAAAAGTTTGCACAAACAAAGATAATGCAACCAAGATTAGGAGGGAAGCAGAAAACTGGTAAAAAATTTTTACAACCAGTATCTCTGATAAGGGCCTTATTTCTAAAATATATAAAGAACTAAGTCAAATTTATAAGAATACAAGTCATTCCCCAGTTAATAAATGGCCAAAGGATACAAACAGGCAGTTTTCAGATGAAGAAATTAAATCTATCTATAGTCATATGAAAAAATGCTCTAAATCACTATTGATTAGAGAAATTCAAATCAAAATAACTCTGAGATACCACATCACACCTATTAGATTGGCTAACATGACAAAACAAAAAATTGATAAATGTTGGCGATGTTGGAAAATTAGAGCACTACTGCATTGTTAGTGGAGTTGTGAACTGATCCAACTATTTTGGAGAACAATTTGGAACTATGCCCAAAGGACTATAAAAATGTACATAGCCTTTGACCTAGCAATAGCACTTTTAGGGCTGTATGCCAAAGAGATTATAAAAAACGGGAAAAGGACCCACATGCACAAAAATATTTGTAGCAGCTCTTTCTATGGTGGCAAAGGATTGGAAATTGAGGGGCCCATCAATTGGGGAATGGAACAAGTTGTGGTATGTGAATGTAATGGAATACTATTGTGCTATAAGAAATGATGAGCAGGGGCAACTAGGTGACACAGTGGATAGAGCACCGGCCCTGAAGTCAGGAGGACCTGAGATCAAATCCGGCCTCAGATCAAATCCTTGATACTTACTAGCTGTGTGACCTGGGCAAGTCACTTTAACCCCAATTGCTCCCTGTGCAACCTGGAGAGACTTACATGAACTGATGCTGAGCGAAGTGAACCAGGAAAACATTGTACATAGTAACAGCCACACTGTGCAGTGATGACTGACTTTGATAGACTTAGCTCTTCTCAGAAATGCAAGGATCTAAGATAATCTCCAAAAATCTCACGATGGAAAATGCTATCCATCCAGAGAAAGAACCATGCAATTTGAATGCAGATCGAAGCATGCTGTTTGTTCTTTTTTTTTCTTCTGATTTGTTTTGTTTTCTCTTTCTTGTGATTCCTCCTATTGGCTCTAATTCTTCCTTACAACAGCACTAATGTGAAAATATGTTTGATAGGAATGTATATGTATAGCTTATATCAGATTGCTGTCTTGGGGAGGGAGAAAAATTTAAAACTCAAAAGCATATGGAAGTGATTGTTGAAAACTAAAAATAAATTAATAATAATAAAAAAAAGAAAACAAACCTCAAAACTGCACTTTTCTTGTTACCCTCTAATTCATCACTTCATTTTATCCTCAATACTTTCTTAATCCATCTCATTTTATTTCCCAATCATATTCTAGTCTGACACTCCACTGAATCCTTCCTTGACTAATTTTCTTATGCCTTACCTATTAATTACTCAGTTTATTCTGTAGTTGGTGGAATCATCTCCTAATAAAATAATACATTTATTGCCTTCCAGGGAGGGAAGAGAATAATAGAGGGTTGTGCCATGAGTTTGTACATAATCTTAATCCAAGGGAGCTGCAGAACTCCCGAAAATCCACTAAGATCAGTTGCAACAGTTACAAAAATCTTTAAACTTTAATTTAGAAATTTATAGTAACAATATTACATTTCAGTTACAAATTCAGTCTATAGTTAGTTTACAATGCCACAAATTTCTACAAACTAGGAAAACAGATTTCCTTTTTTTTTAATCTGTCTTTTATCTCTGTAATCTTCAAGCTGGTCAGGGTTGTGTGGAGGCAGAAAGTATCTTAAAGTATTTTCCCCCATTCTTTTTTTTTCTATTAATGCTTTTCTTTTTATTTTCTTTTTCATTTTTCATTTTTTATTCTTTATGGTTTTTTCCTTTTTTTTTGTGCAAAAGCTTGTGTCAAGGGCATTTCCCCCATTCTAAAATCTTATCTCCTACTGAAAGTCTGATCAAAAGGTTGGTGAAAGCAAGTTCCTGTGTATTATATCACAGATAGCTGAGAGAGCTGTTTTAGGCATGAAACTTCATTAATCTTTCCTATCCTTCTAAGCTATATTTCCACAATTATTTATAGCAATCTTTATGGCTAACTGGGTGCTCCCCTTCAAAAATATTCAAAGTAAATACAACCTTTTGTGAGCAAGAGAACTTCTGAAATGGAAGCCCCAGTCAAAGCCCACTTCTTTGCCCACCAAATGTTAGTTTCCCTCACAAACCTGGGATCATGCTAAGTGAAAGAATATAGAACTAATAATGAGCAAATGGTTCATCTAAGTCAGTCAATCAACTATACCAATATCTGAGAAGATGGTCTTTTTCCAGCAGGTCACTAGGTTTAACCAGTGACTTTTGCTTTCGAGTCCTAGATCACAGCACCCTATTCAATAGGATATCAGGGTGGCCTCCAGCACCCTTGGGTAATCAGACTGAGGGTGCTATTTGTTTTCAGGTCAGGGCAGCCAGGCTAGTTTTAACCATACCTGCTGAGTCATTCCATGGGCTGAGACAAACACAGCCTTTTAACTTTCTGGATACTCATGGTCTCCAGTCCTAATCTTGGGCCTTCATTGGGTTCAGCTTGAACCTTGGGAGTACTCACCAGGTTCTCAACATGTCAGTTAATCCCTCATAAATTGGATGCATCTGTGCTCAATCCAGAGCTCACAGACACTCAACTTCTGTGGTCTCAGGGAACCTTTGGGTTTATTTAGGCTGACCATCAGGGATCCTACTTCTGATCCCAAGCCCTGAAAAAAGTTTTAGAAAAAAATCTTATTAAGTCATTTGGCAGAGGAAAGAGAGCAAGAAAAGGTATGACTCACCTTTCTTGAGTCTCTGTGAGTTTTATATTATATAGAGTACAAACAAGGGTATAAGGAAAAGCAGTTGGGTGGCCAGCACATAGATGTTTGCAGTTTCCAGAAAAGGAAAGATTGCTTGAGATATATATCACCAGGAAAGTATAAACATTCAATAAAATTTGGGCAAAGCCAAAACACCTAAGACCTGGGGGGACCCAGAACCAGCCCTTTGTCTTCCCTGAAGGATCTCTGAGGTCAGCATAACCTATGGTTTCAGGTTAGACTATTTCTAGCTATATAAATAGATATAGCTAAATAGCTAAATATCTAGATTCAAACAATATTAATAAATAATAAATAACAAAGTATTTCCCCCTCAATATAGACAATTAAATTTCATTAGAAAACTTTTGTATTTTTTCTCGAGACCCTTATACAAAGAATAGCTGAGGTATACTTCTTTTCATAGCACCATTTTGTGGGCCAGGATGGTCTGGCAGTCATGGACCATCTAATAATTAGGAAAAGGAGATTGATTTAGTCATGATGTTGAATGGATACTCAGCAAAGGGATAACATTGGCTTGAGTAGATTTTGAGTAGATTCAACATACTCCTTTCTTCCATACAGAAACACACCTGATTTACAGAGGTGTGGTAATTTTTATAGCAGGATGTCTGCCAGATCTGGGTGCAAAAAATCAAAGGCAGATAATATTTGGGCTAATCATAGGATCTTAAATGATCTTAGAAAGAAAGGAAACAAGAATTTGCTAAATACATACTATGTGACAGGCACTAAGCATTTTACAAAGACTAAAAAAAAAAAAAAATAAAGAACCTCACTGTAACACCTCCCCAAACATGCTGTTACCAAGATGCTGGAGGACCACAGGACTGAGTATAGAGAGATTCTTCCAGTTTCTGGATCATTTGACCTCAAAAGAACTTCCTTTAGGGAGAAACTATGTGGAGGCTCAGATACAGGGGACATTTGGTTGTCCTGATTCTCCTGCCTAACCTTGTAGGGAGCTTTGGACAAACATCCACAACTCTTTGACTATCAAAATCGAGAATAGTGGAAGCAAGGTGCTGACTAGACCAGAGGTACAAAAAGCTAACTGGAAACCAACAACTGTGGTGTTTGGTGAGGGTAAAGTCCAGCCCCACAGCTCATTTCATTCCCTGCTCCTGCCTTCCTGGTGTGCTGCCTGAGGAAGCTCCTGTCCAACATTTGGGGGTTTGTTTTGTTTCATTTTGCTATTTTTCTCTCAGACTGGTAGGAGGAAAAGGAGGGCAGGGAGGAGAAAACAGACCTAATCCCCAGACTGCCAGCCATATTGCAACCTGCTAGTTTAATACTTGTCTGTATTTTATGCTATTTGATGAAACTACTAAAGTATATGACTATTAACTATGACTTGAGAATGAGTTTGTAAGTGTGCTATATGGAATTGTCAACTGGATTGGAACCAGCCTCTAACCGCCAAACAGAACAGGCTAGAGACAGGACACAGTCAGGACACAAACAGAAGTTTAATTAATTTCAGAGTGAGAAAAATGGTGTATGCATACGGAAGCCTCCCTAAGAAGGAGGGCTTAACATGCTGGACTAAAGGCAGGTCTTATATACATTCTGAGCTGAACCATGACATAATCATTTTTAGGTCTTGAATTACTGTTCCCACAGGTCCTGTGTCTCAAGTCTTGGGGTTCATGCCCACCTTGTGGGGCACAGAACCAGAGTTCTATGACAGGAACAGAAATGTAGTACCTGTCACTGATTATGAACGTGTGATGGATGGCCCTGGGAAACAGGGGGAGCTAAATCCCTCAGTGAACACCTGGTGCTGGTCCAAGCTTTGCCAGAGGGTGATAGCATCCTGAGTGCAAAGGATTGTTGTTATGCCAAGCTCAGGACACAGCCTGCTTGTTAGGTCTTAGCTCTGGAAAACAAAGTATCTCCAAAATATTTTGACAGAATTGAGAGTGGAGAAGCTGACCCAAAGCGAGAGGAGATTTTTCTTCTATCAGATTGGGTTGGGATTGAGCCAATTAGGAAGAGAGAAACTTAACAAGGAAACAAGCCACTTCGGCACCTAGCGTTGTCCTTGGTTCTTCTCAAAGAGGCCCAAAATGACATCACTATGTTAGAGTCAAGTTACAATGCTACCAACTGCAGCTGATCAGACTCATACGAGATCAGAATGTTCTACCACAGGTCGGGCACAAAGAGTCCATGTGAACATTGGGGGTGGATTCTCTAGATTTGCACATCTCACATTTCTTTTGAGCTACTTCAATTCTGCTTTGCTTATAGAGCACAGCACCTTCTCTGATGTGGGCACACTATGCTGGGGAATCCCATGCCAGTGTCTCCCGCGTCACACAATCAATTCCAAAGTTCTTAAGAGAGACTTGAGAGTGTTTTTGTATTGCTTTTTCTGACCATGTGAGTTTCCATAAAACAGTCTTTTAGACAAGTGTGGCCAGCCCATCATAACATTAAATGACTCCTAGAAGCCCCTCACCCATTACATACCCACAACCTCACTCGTACGCTATGAGTTTGGGGAGTTGCGACTGAGGAGGACTTAAGCCGTGCCATGGAAATGGAAATTTAATAAGTTGAAGAGATTTTGCATTTTAGAAAATTGTGTATATATTCCTGGTCCCACCAGTAGATTTTCAGTGAAACTGGGGACCGCTTCGCCAATTGGATGGAGCAAGAAGCAATGGAGTGGGGTTAGGAAGTAGCATGCTTATGGGTAGCTGGGGCGCCATCTGGTGCCTAATCAAGATACTACATCTCTCTCAGCTGCAGATTTCTTGCTCTGTGGTCAAATGCTCCACCACTGAGTTATACTGCCCCCCCCCTTTTTCACAGATCATTTTACTTTTATTTCTGTTAATGTTAAAATTTGTTTTTAAATATTTAGTACATGGAATTGGGGCTTAGTAGGGACACACATATTCAGACATGCACACTTAGACACTGTCAACCATTACTGAGTTCATTCTAAGAAAGACAAACAAAATTAGTATTTCTCTCAAAGCTGGCGGAACATGCATATAGATATGCATGGAGTTCATTGTGAAAAAGGAGCCCAAGGATGAATAGACAAAGGGAACCTTATATGCTCAGAACAATTCCCTCTCACCCCTCCCTCCCCTCCTTCCTTAAGATGCCTGCATCTGCCAATATTATAGTCTCCAAATGTGTTAACTTATAATATGAGAAAGGAATTTCTTAACAGGATAGATTTTAAATACAATAAGATAAGAGAATGTCAAGGTGTCAATTGTTTCTTTTATCATTAATATATATGAATGTGTGTATATAGCATAATATGTGTCCATAAAATACCAAGATAAGAAGTTCCATTATGCAAGTTGGTGTCCAGTTCAAGGCACCTTGTCCTTGGTGGTCATAGACAGAAGAATGCTCCTGGGCAGCTTCATCTGGTCCTGTAGTTGCTGACTCAGGACGGGGCATTTTGGGTTCACTCAAAGAGCAAAGCAAAGTGTCTATTATTCCAGAACATTACGGTAGGTTAAGCTCAGGGTGGGCCAAAATGTCTTTTTCCTAATTGGCCAACCCAGGTTTTAGGCTTTTCTCTGGTGATGGGGGGTGTGCAAAATGGTTTACAACATACACCCCTAAAGCCCTTCATCTGGACACACATTCAGTGTTGCAAGTACAGGGCAACGAGAAGGGGGAAGGGAGCAGGACATGCTGGGGGATCTTGGGGGTTGGGGGGAGATGAAGTGTTTTTTGTTGTGGTCTGAGAGGTTTAGACCCCTCAAAGACCAGAGTACAGGGCAGGGTCTTCTGGAATGAATTCACAGACTCAAGCATTCTTTAAGTCAACTCGGCAAAGATTTATTGTTTTGCTTTCTTAAGGAAACTTCAAGAGACTGAGTGCTGGGGTATATATGGAAAAGGGCACGGGAAAGGAATGCCAGGAATACTGCTTAGGTAATCTAAAGGTTCAGGTGTCTTCAGGAGCTATGGATGGGAAAGTGTGGGGAGTATATCGGACATTGAGGGAGTTATCAGAGGACCTTGGGAATCTGGCGGGAGGAAGAGTCTTTGGGTCAGCCAGGGACAAAATTCCTTGAGCCAGGCAACCTTCTCTCTGTCCTGATTAGAGAATGCATTTTGCAACAAGAGAAAATTTTCTCACAGGACAGGAGGCTCCTAAGGAATTGGGAGGCTTCCAGAGACATGATCTTAGGGCTGGGGCCTGAGCAGCCCATCACTCTCTCACCCAGCTTTGTGTAACTGCACCAGGGAGAGAGATAACGGTCTTGCTGGGGCTTACTCATGAGTAATTGCTAAGCACAGTGTCCTTGGGCTGGAGGAAAACTGACAGGATAGTGTTTCTGAGGCTAGGGAAAAATTGGGGTCCAAGCAAGGCATCCAAGCACCCTACCATTTTTACCTTCAGTTTGCCTCAAATTAGTCTAAGAGATCCCAGGGCAGTAGAGGTATAAAAAGCTTTTTGTGGGGAGGGCAGAGAAACTACAGTTACAGGTTATGAGATCACATTGGAACCAATTTACAAAGTTAGAAACTTGAGTAGTTGGGAATAAATACAACATGGTCATTGAATTGGGGCCCCAGGGCCAATGATGAGTCCTATAAGTGGGACTTTGGTCACCATCAACAGGCACACCCAGCTAAGGCCCCAAGGATTTCCATTCACCAACATAAGGATCCATTTTACAAAAAAAAAAAAAATTATTATTAGGAGACAGGGTCTCCAGTCTCAGCAGTAGCTGTGAATCTGGCCCTTAGCATGGAGAGACCAACATGGGGGGTGGCAGGAGGATGGGAGTACCCTCTCTATGTCCATCCCCTACATTTCCATATTGAACCATGATCACCCTCCCTACCTCCTTTCCCATAGGCCTGGGTGAGTGTCCTGTAGAGTAGGAGGGGGTCTGGAGGCCTCTAGGGTCAAGGAGGCTGGGTGGCCCCCAAGATGAGTGCCGCTTTTTGGGGAGTCAAGTTGCTGGGGGACCAGGGTCAGAGTGACTTTGGGGGTGGGCAGGAGGGGAGGAAGAACTAGAGGAGGAGGTAGGGGAAGGTCTACCCCCACCTAGGGGCAAGTTGTCATAGACAGGTTCCAGATGGGCTGAGCTTCACTGACATTCTTGGAGGTGGTAGCAGAGGTGGCCATGTTGGGAAAAAGGCTGCAATGCCCAGGGTAGGGGGTTGTGGGTAGGGCGGGAGGTAGCAGAAGAGGAAGTCAGGAGGAGCGAGGTGGTGACTGTTCCCGAATCCCATAGGATGCATTGAACCCCACAGGAGCCTAATGGAAGGAAGTCCAAGGCCTAGGCAGGCCTGGGTAGGGAGGCCCCTCATCTCCACTAATCTCATAGTACAGGTTTTCTCCCTTGTCAAAGGGCTGTGTGGGACTAGGTGGGGTCCTCCAGGTAGGGAGTTGGAAGAGAAGAGTACCCAGGGAGTGAAGAGGTGGCTTAGCAGAACCAGGGAAGGGTGGGAGTGCTACTTGGGGTTGGGAGAGGTCACAGCAGAGGAGAAAAAGGAGGCAGGTACCTGTGCAGAATCTTTCTGTTCCCTTCATGGGAGACTAGAAAAGTGTGTGCGCAAGAGGCCACACACGGTTAAGTACTTGACAAATTACGGGAAAGACAGCCAACTGCTCTCTGGACCAGCAAAGAGCCCGAGATGAAACCAAAGATCTTTACAATCATTACTAAGTACACCTTGTAGCACTGTGGCTAATATTCACCAGCATCAGCCCTGTGATATCAAGGGGAAACAGATGGATAAGATGCAGCCTGGGGAAGTGGTGGAACCATACATGGAGAAGAAGGTTCCTAGAGTTCTCCCATTTTCTCTTCCTTGGGAAGAATTGCTTTATCTCTTTTCTTTTTTTCCCCCCTTTTTTTCTTTTAGAGAACAGAGAGAGCATTTTTCCATTTTTCCTTAAGACTGAGAACTTCTGGGAAGGCCACGCGGGTAATGATTGCTATCTGCTGCTACTGTTTTGGTCCACACCAAGAGATGCAGAGGGACAGATGGTATTGGACTAAGAGGATTGTATGGAGTGAATGTTCAGGGAGTTCTAGAACCTCTGGTGTGAGGGCTGCTCATCTACCTTTGGTGTCCACCTGTGGCTTCAAGAAGCTGTAGCATGCACAGCGGCCACACCCCACTAAAACTGTCTCAGCTAAACCAGCTTGCGGGTGACCAATGACCACAAACCCACCAGTGACTTGGGGGGGGTGGTCTACCCCAAGCATGTGAGGACTTCTTCTGGTGGAATTGGTGGATGAGAACAATTTGTTCCCATGACCATGAAAGCTGCTGAAGTCGTCTTGACTTTTGTCTTGCTCCTGGACTTTGTCGACTCTGGGGGAGAGAGTGAAGCTGGTGACTTTGTGTAACTCTTCCTCATTTAAATACAACTCACAAATGAGTCAAGACATCACCTGTGATGTTATTGGTCCTCTTTGAGAAGGAAGGACAAATACCACTAGATTAGGAGCCATAAGCAGTCAACCAAAGATCATCGTGTATAGAGGTGAGCTGGGGGTTGGGTGACAAGCCAAGGCAGCTTCCAAAATCTCAGTGGCTGGTGAGAAATCTGGGAGACTGATCTAAGAGTCAGGACTTCCCCTGTTTTTTTTTTCTTTCAGTGATTTGCTACAGTACACTGAGTTGGTTACTGGACATCAAAACTGATCCCTTCAACCCTTTTCCTAAAACCGTGCTAGCCCTGACATCAGGAAGACTTGAGTTCAAATCCAGCCTCAGATAGCAGTTGTGTGTTGCTGGGCAGGTCAACCTCTCTGCCTCAGTTTCCTCATTGTAAAATGGGGATAACAATAGTGATTACTTCCCAGCTTTGTTGTGAGGATCAAGCAAGATGATATTTGTAGAACATTTTTTAAACCTTAAAGCAAATGCAAATGTTAGTTATTGTTATTACTACATGTAATCCAGGTGAATGAATGAATGAAAAAAAAACCATATATTAAGTGCTTACTATGTACTAGGGTCTGTGCTGTGTTGGAGCTACAGGAGCAAGGGTGGCAGTTCAATGTTTTGGGGTGAGTGGGAGGGTGGGAGCATCTGACCTATCAATCCAGTGTGAGATAATAACGCTATAGCCTTGGATATATAGCTTGGGGCATGCCTTCCACCTTAAGGGATAGTAATCAGGAACTCAGTTTGAACCTAAAAATCATTTCTCCTAGACTGGCAATAGGTGGGGGGCATAGACTGATATGGTTCTAGCCTGATACCCCCTCTTTCTGAGGAAAGCAGAGTGGCCATCCTCTGGCCCCAATCTCCTGCTCTCCACTGTATTCTCAGTACCTCTTAATTAACTAATTAATTCCTTTTGGAAAAGGGTTGGTAGATGAGCCTCTAAAGATATGTGATGTTCATGCCTTCCTGAGAGCCACATCTAGATAGATCCATGTGGCCACACGTAACCTATATGGGCAACAAAACACACACACACACACACTCCTCCCTCCCTAAATTAGTTATTTAGAACTCCCAGGATAAGGAGAAAATACCACAAGCAACAAGAGAATAACAATATAAATACTGCAGAGCTACAATCAGGATCACACAAGAACTAGCAGCTTCTACATTAAAACACTGCAATGTTTCCTTGGAATATTATATTTATTTTAATAATTAATTTAGTTTTAGTTTTCAACATTCACTTCCATAAGATTTTGAGTTTTAAATTTTCTCCTCCTCCTTCCCTGCCTCTCTCCCCAAGATGGCATGCAATCTAATATAGGCTCTACATATACATTCCTATTAAACATATTTAGTCATGTTGCAAAGAAGAATTAGAACCAAGAGGAGGAGCCACAAGAAAGAAGAAACAAAACACAACAGAAGAAAAAAAAAAGAGCAAAAAGTGTGCTTTGATCTGCATTCAAACTCCTTAGTTCTTTCTTTGGATGTGGATAGCGTTTTCCATCATGAGACTTTTGGAGATGTCTTAGATCCTTGCATTGCTGAGAAGAGCCAAGTCTATCAAAGTTAGTCATTGCACAATGTGGCTGTCGCTGCTCACTTCACTCAGCATCAGTCCATACAAGTCTTTCCAGGTTTTTCTGAAGTCAGCCTGTCATCATTTCTTATAGCACAATAGTATTCATTACATTCACATACCACAACTTGTCAGCCATTCCCAATTGATGGGCATCCCTCAATTTCCAATTCTTTGCCACCACAGAAAGAGCTGCTATGAATATTTTTGTACATGTGGGTCCTTTTCCCATTTTTATGATCTCTTTGGGATATAGCCCTAGAAGTGCTATTGCTGGATCGAAGGGTATGCACATTTTTGTAGCCCTTTGGGCATAGTTCCAAATTGTCTCCAAAATGGTTGGATCATTTCACAACTCCACCAACAATGCATTAGTGTTCCAATTTTCCCACATCTCTCCAACATTTATCATTTTCCTGTTTTGTCATGTTGGCCAATCTGATAGTGTGATGTGGTACCTCAGAGTTGTTTTGATTTGCATTTCTCTAATCAATAATGATTTAGAGCATTTTTTCATATGACTATAGATGACTTTAATTTCTTCATCTGAGAACTGTCTGTTCATATCCTTTGACCATTTATCAATTGGGGAATGGCTTCTGTTCTTATAAATTTGTCTTAATTCTCTATATATTTTAGAAATGAGGCCTTTATCAGAGAGACTGGTTGTAAAAATTCTTTCCCAATTTTCTACCTTCCTTCTCATCTTAGTTGCATTGGCTTTGTGCAAAAACTTTTCAATTTAATGTAATCAAAATTATCCATTTTGCTTTTCATAATGTTCTCTATCTCCTGTTTGGTCATGAATTCTTCTGTTCTCCATAGATCTGATAGGTAAACTATTCCTTGTTCTCCCAGTTTACTTATGTATCAGCCTTTATATCTAAGTCATGAACCCATTTTGACTTTATTTTGGTATATGGTGTGAGATTTGGGTCTATGCCTAGTTTCTGCCATACTCTTTTCCAGTTTTCCCAGCAGTTTTTTTAAAGAGTGGGTTCTTATCCCAGAAGCTGGGGTCTTTGGGTTTATCAAATAGATTACTATAGTCATTGACTACTGTGTCTTGCATATACCTATTCTGATTCCACTGATTTCTTAGCCAGTACCAAGCAGTTTTGATGATTGCTGCTTTATAATACAATTTAAGATCTGGAATTGCTAGGCCACCTTCCCTGCATTTCTTTTCATTAGTTCCTTTGATATTCTGGACCTTTTGTTTTCCAAATGAATCTTGTTATTATTTTTTCTAACTCTATAAAATAATTTTTGGTAGTTTGATTGGTATGGCACTGAATAAGTAAATTAGCTTAGGTAGGATTGTCATTTTTATTATATTAGACCCATGAGCAACTGATGTTTTTCCAATTATTTAGATCTGATTTTATTTGTGTGAAAAGTGTTTTGTAATTGTGTTCATAGAGTTCCTGGGTTTGTTTTAGGTAGACTCCTAAATATTTTATAATGTCTACAGTAAGTTTAAATGGAATTTCTCTTTCTATCTCTTGCTGTTGGGCTTTGTTGGTAATATATAGAAATGCTGATGATTTATGTGGGTTTATTTTATAGCCTGCAACTTTGCTAAAGTTGTTTATTATTTCAAGTAGTTTTTTACTTGATTCTCTAGGATTCTCTAAGTATATCATCATGTCATCTGCAAAGAGTGATAGCTTTTTTTCTTCTTTGCCTATTCTAATGCCTTCAATTTCTTTTTCTTCTCTTATTGCTAAAGCTAATTTTCCAGTACAATATTGAATACAGTGGTGATAATGGACATCCTTGTTTCACCCCGATCTTATTGGAAATGCTTCTAGCTTCCCCATTACATATAATGCTTGCTGAAGGTTTTAGATATGCTATTTATTATTTTAAGGAAGACTCCATTTATACCTATGCTTTCTAGTGTTTTTAATAGGAATGGGTGTTGTATTTTCAAAAGCTTTTTCTGCATCTATTGAGATGATCATGTGGTTTCTGTTGGTTTTGTGTTGATATGCTCAATTATGGTGATAGTTTTCCTAATATTGAACCAACCCTGCATTCCTGGTATAAATCCTACCTGGTCATAGTGTATTATTCTTGTGATAAGTTGCTGTAATCTATTTGCTAGTATTTTTTAAAATTTTTGCATCTATATTCATTAGAGAAATTGGTCTATAATTTTCTTTCTCTATTTTGACTCTTCCTGGTTTAGGTATCAGCACCATATTTGTATCATAAAAAGAATTTGGTAAGACTCCTTCTTCACCTATTTTCCCAAATAGTCTATATAGTATTGGAATTAATTGTTCTTTAAATGTTTGATAGAATTCATGTAAATCCATCTGGCCCTGGAGATTTTTTCCTAGGGAGTTCATCAATGGCTTGTTCAATTTCTTTTTCTGAGATGGGGTTATTTAAGTATTTTACTTCCTCTTCTGTTAATCTGGGCAATTTATATTTTTGTAAATATGTATCCATTTCACTAAGATTGTCAAATTTGTTGGCATATAGTTGGGCAAAATAATTCCTAATTATTGTTTTAATTTCCTCTTCCTTGGTAGCATTTTCACCCTTTTCATTCTTGATACTAGTAATTTGGTTTTCTTTTTTTTTTTAATTAAATTAACCAAAGGTTTTCTATTTTATTGGTTTTTTCATAAAACCAGCTCTTAGTTTTATTTATTAGTTCAATAGTTTTCTTAATTTCAATTTTATTAATTTTTCCTTTGGTTTTCAATATTTCTAATTTGGTGTTTAGTTGAGGATTTTTAATTTGTTCTTTTTCTAGTTTTTTTAGTTGTATGCCCAATTCATTAATCTCCTCTTTTTCTATTTTATTTATGTAAGCATTTAGAGATATAAAACTTCCCCTAAGAACTGCTTTGCTGCATCCCATAAGTTTTGGTATGTTGTCTCATTATTGTCATTCTCTTGAATGAAATTAATTGTTTCTATGATTTGTTGTTTGACCCAATTTTTTTTAGGATTAGATTTTTAGTTTAATTATTTTCCAATTATTTTTTCTATCTTTCCATGGCCCTTTATTACATATAATTTTTATTGCATCATGATCTGAAAAGGATGCATTTAATATTTCTGCCTTTCTGCATTGGATTGTAAGGTTTTTATGCCCTAGTACATGATCATTTTTTGTGTATGTGCCATGTACTGCTGAGAAAAAAGTATATTCCTTTCTATCCCCATTCAGTTTTCTCCAGAGGTCTATCATACCTAACTTTTCTAATGTTCTATTCACCTCCTTAACTTCTTTCTTGTTTATTTTGTGGTTAGATTTATCTAGTGCAGAGAGGGGAGGTTAGGTCCCCACTAGTATAGTTTTGCTGTCTATTTCTTCCTGTAACTACCTGAACTTCTCCTCTAAGAATTTGGATGCTATACCATTTGGTGCATATATGTTTAGTAATGATATTACTTCATTGTCTATGGTGCCTTTTAGCAGGATGTAGTTTCCTTCCTTATCTCTTTTGATTATATCTATTTTTGCTTTTGCTTTGTCTGAGATC